AACAATGTATCCTTTGCCTCCTTCAGCTTCCAGGGGCTGGATGGGTCCCTGGCTTGTTGGCTGTGACACTTCAGTATCTCTCTGTGGTCAGGTTTCTTCCTGGTCTTCTGTGTTAGCCTCTTCTGTTTTTCAGGTCTCCCTGTGACAAGTTTTTTAATCTTATTGAGTTATTGGTACTTTTTAAGTATACAGTACAGTTACATTCATCATTGGGTTCTTATACCCTTACATGACAGAGCTTCGTTCTCATTTCTTCCCATACTTCTGCACTCCCTTCACACCCTCCAACCTCTCCTATTTACAAAGACTTTGTTTCCATTTTTTTTTTTGACATTTTTTATAAGGACATTTGTCATTAGATTTAAGGCTCATGCTTTTAACCCAGCATGACCTTCTTATCTAAAGATTTTTTTTTTCACCAGGGATCAAACTTGGGACCTTGTGCTTGCAAGGCATGCAGTGGCACCACTAAGCAAATCCCTGGTCCATCATCTAAAGATTCTTAATTCTATCTTCAAAGACTCCAAATAATGTAACAGTCACAGGTTCTGGGGATTAGGACATACACAGTTTTTTTCGGAGGGCACCATCTAAGCCATTATAACAAAATAATTTTGGTACCCTGAGACAAATCTTTTTGTTTCTTTTTTCTTTTCCTTTGGTACTAGGGATTGAACTCAGGACCTTGCATTTGCCAGGTAGGCAGACAAGCCTTTTTTGGCTGGGCATGGTGGCACATGCTCATAATCCTAGTACTTGGGAGGCTGAGGCAGGAGAATCACTGTGTTTGAGGTCAGCCTAGGCTACATAGTTGAGTTGAAGGCCAATCTGAACTACATAGCATGACTGGCTAAAAAAAAAATTGTACTTGGGGCCTTTGCACTGAGCTACACGCGCCCCCCCCCCCGGGCAGCCTTTGTTTTGTTTTGTTTTTTGAGACAGGGTCTCACTATGTAGTTGAGACTGACCTGGATCTCACTATGTAGCCCAGGCTGGTCTCGAACTCACAGCAATCCTCCTGCCTCAGCCTCCCAACTGTTGGGATTACCGGTGTGCACCACCACACTTGACTTATTTTTTAATTTTGAGACAGGATGTCACTAAGTTGCCCAGGCTGGGCCCCAACTTGTAATCTTTCTGCCTCATGAGATTATGTTGTGCGCCACCACATCTGGCAATGAAAATACATTTCTTACTGTGGATCTTGGTCCGAAAAGTTTAAAAGCCACTACCTAATATGACTGCTTTGTTTTTCACAGGTGCATTAATAGGTACCAAAGAATTCTGTAATGTGCCAAGATCTCTTCAATAGTAGAACTAAACTACAAGTTCGATCCCTGGTACCCTACCAAATAGAGCTAGAACCAGCTCTTTTCTGCTATACTATGCTGCTTTTAGCTCTTCTTAGATTGCCTGTCACAGTACATCTTTTATTTTCAACTGTGCCCCACCTCATTTTGAAAAAGCTTTATTCATTTATTTGTTTGCTTATTTGTTTATAGTATTAGGGATTGAACTCAGGGCCTTTATACTGAGCTACATCTCCAGCTCTTTTTATTTTTTATTTTGTTTTGTTTTTATTACTGGGGATCAAAACTCAGGACCTTGCACTTGCAAGGTAGGCAGTGGAACCACTGAGCTAAATCCCCAGCTCTTATTTTTGAGACAAAGTTTCTGCTGAGTCACTAAATTGCCCAGGCTGGACTTGAACTTGTGATCCTCCTACCTCAACCTCCGAGAGTGCTGAGATTACAGTTGAGTGCCATCGTGCCTGGGTTTTTGTTGTTTTTTTTCTAATGGAGTAGTATTATGAGCTCCCATGTACCTTTCACTCAACTTCAATAGTCATTAACTCCATGGCCAGTATTGTCATTAAAACACTCATCCTTTCCTCAATCTGCCCCATCCCCATATTGTTTTGAGAAAGGTCCCAGATCATGTCACTTTTATCTGTAAAGAATCCTATATATCTCTAAAAGGTAAGACTTTTCTTCTTTATTTATTTATTTTTTTTTTTTCCCGGGCCTGTGATTGAACTCAGGACCTTGCACTTGCGAGGCAGGCGGCTGCACCACTGAGCTAAATCCCTGGCCCAGATTTTTCCTCTTAAATATAAACATACCATCATCATTATACCTTAAAATAAACTTCTATCTTAACATCAAATACACAGTTCCTATCCATATTATCAGTCTCCTAAATGTAGTAATTGGTGTGGGTGGATATTTGTTTTACATTTTATTGCTTAAGTCAAGAACCATATAAAACCCACATACTGAAACTGGTTAATTATACCAAGACCTGTCATGTAAAGGAACAAGATCCCAGTGATGAAGGTAACTGTACTGCATACCTAAAAAGTACCAATAAACTCAATGAGAAAAAAAAAAACTGGTTAATTATGATTTTAAGGTTAATCTGTAGTTACCTCTTCCATCTCTTTACCACCTCAACCTCCCCTGAAGCTTGTGTGTTGAAGTTCTGAGCTGTTTCCCATAGTCTAGATTTGGTTGATGACATCCTTATGTTGTCATCTAGCAAGTTTCCCTGTTCTCCAGATTTCTATAAATTGCTGGGCATTGTGACTCACACTTGTAATCCTAGCGCTGAGGAGCTGAGGCAGGAGGATTGCTGTGTGTTCCAGGCTAGCCTGATCTACATAGTGAGACCCCATCTCAAAAAAGGGGGGTGTCCTATAAAGGTTGGCATATTTGTGACTCTGCAGTTAAATATCTATAAATTGTTTATCTCATCTTTGTTAAAATGTGCATAAACTTGGTATAGTCTCTCAAATGTATTTTGTAGATTTTCGAAGATATTCTACAAAACGCCTGTTGAATATTTTGTCCATATTCTCATTTTTCACTCTGTGTATGTGTGCACACACGTGCGTGTTTGTGTGTTTTAACTAGGGATTGAATCCTAGTTGCTGGGTTACTAGGGCCTTTACACTGAACTACATCCCCAGCCCATTTTTTATTTTGAGACAGTGTCCCACTGAGTTGCTAAGTCTCCCAGACTGAACTCAAACTTGGCAGTTCTCCTGCTTCAGCCTCACAGAATGCTGGCTTTACAGACATGTACCACCATGCCTGGCTCATTTTTCACTGTTCTTAATTGTATTTTTGTATGCCCTAGAATGCTATTTTATTTTTTGCCCATCTAAAAAACAATTTTTTCTGAAAGTCCTCCATAAATTTGAGTTATATTTAAAACTCCTCTAACTCCCAAGGAGATATGGCATTATTTCATCCTGTATCTGTCCTACCTACAGAAAGCTTTAACTCAATCTAGATTGAGCACATTCTGCCATTGTACTGATTGTCTGCTCCCAAGGAAATTGTACAGCACTGATTGCATGGTTGGGATTAAAGAAAGTCAGCTTAGCAGCTGAGTGGAAAGATAAGTTCCGAGACTGAAGTGAAATAAACTTGAGTTTGAATGTGGGCTTTCCCAGTACACTGTGTCTTTGTACAAATTACAAGGAAAATGCCTGCTTTGCATAGCAGTTAAAAGTCTTAATTCCTTAGTTTACCATACAAAGTGTCAGAGGCCTGACCCTCGCCTTCCTAACCTTTCCTCTCGCTGCAGCAGCCCTGACGTGCTGGGGGAATGGGCTGCCGCTGCTGCACTGGTGCCTCATGGTGCCTTCTCTTTCCCTCCCACCCAGCCTGCTCCGCGTGGTTCAAGCTCATGTACACACAGTGCTCCCTGTAATCTCATCAGCCATGCCTTCTGCACTGCTTCTCTCCTCCTGCTCACGTTCCTGCTCAGAACAGGCATCACTCTTCTGCATCCTCCACACATACTTTGGTGTGCTTGCCCCAGAGTGCCACGTTCCTGTCATTGTCATTGCACGCATCTGGAGGCGTTGTAATAGTCTATGCTCTTAAAAACCTTGTGTATGGGGACTGGAGTGGAACTCAGTGGTACAGTGCTTCCCTGGCCTATGTGAGGCCCTGGCTTTGATCCACAGCGCTGAAAACAAAGACACCCTGTATATGTATTCACTACTGCATTTGCCGTACAGTATTTTTTTTTCTTTTTGGGGTTTTTTTGAGACAGGGTCTCACTATGTAGTTGAGACTGCCCTGGAACTCACTATGTAGCCCAGGCTGGTCTTGAACTCACAGTGATTCTCCTGCCTCAGCCTCCCAAGTGCCAGGATTAGAAGCGTGTGCCACCACACCCAGCTGCCATATAGTATTATTGTGCTCCATTTTGTCTCACTTGCTCTAGACCAGTGATGGTGAACCTTTTAGAGCTTTCAGTAATAGCCTGCTGCCACACATGTGCTATATAGATTTGCCACCATTGCTCTAAACTGCATTCACTGAAGACTGCAGCAAATAGTCTGTCAGTCTTATGTCCAGCTCAATGTATTTCAATCATGTGCTCAATATATTTTTGTTGAATTAATACCAATAATGGTAACATTGTGTGGCAACTATGAGTAAGCATCTTTCATAGGTTATTTTATCTGGCTTTAATATTCCAAGGTTAAATGAGATAGTGTGGCTATATTTTCTCATACTTGACATATTCTTAATAAAATTGTTAATTATCTTTTCCTGAATTTTGGGGACACAGCCTCAGGTTGCCTCGAAACTCCTCTACTCCTCCTTGTTTTTGTTTGTTCCTTTCCTTCTGTTCTCATAGCTCTTTTTTTTTTTTTAATGGTATTGGGGATCAAACTCAGGTCCTTGCACTTGTAAGGCAGGCAACAGAACCACTGAGCTAAATCCCCAGCCCTGTTTTCATAGCTCTTTATTCAAAGTAGTAGACTCAAGAGCTCAGCAAAGAAGTCATCTCGTTTGTACGCTCAGCACAGGCTCTGCCGTGGAGGAAGGGCCATTATGAATATTGAGAGAGAAGAGAGAAAGAAATGGTAATTTGTATTTCCTAAGCATTCAGATGGCTGAAAATGGTAACTGTATGAAAACTATGAGGACTTTCTAGACCCATAATTCCGTTTCATCCTCTTTTTTTTCTCATTTCAGGATGCATGTCGTGTTTACAGCGAAGGTACTCCCTTCAGCCCATGCCTGAGAGGAGGGTTCCACACCGGTACTTGGGCCAGCCCAGCCCTTTCACACACCCTCATCTCCTCAGACCAGGTAACAACTGTCTTTCCTTTGAGATGCTTTGTCTGAACAATGCTACGTGTTAGAATGTTTTGCAGTGATGGAAGTGTTTTAGATCTATGCTGTCCTGTAGAGGAGCCAGGACCATATGTAACTGTTATACATTGATAATGTTGCTAGTGTGATTGAGGAACTGGTTTTTATTTTATTTTATTTTAATTAAATTTAAATTTACATAGCTACATATGGCTACTGGTATTAAATTGACACCCAGTCCAGAATAACTACTGAAAAATAAGTATTTCAGGATGTTTTTAAAGAAAAGTTCTATCTATTACTTTATAGATGATAGTTTCTAGAACTGTATTCTAACTGTTGATTATGAACCACTGTTGTTAAAAAGCAATTTATTTGTTTGTTTTTTTGGTACCGGGAATCCAACTCTGGACTTTGTGCTTGTGAGGCAGGCAGCAGCACCACTAGGGTAAATCACCAGCCCTAAAAGACATTTTAGAAAACATTGTTTTGGGCCGGGGATTTAGTTCAGTGGTTCCACTGCCTGCTTTGCAAGCACAAGGACCTGAGTTCCGTTCCCAGTACCAAAAAAATGAATAAATAAAGTTTTTTTTGAACATTTTGTTTAAGAAAAATATTTCTAGGGCCGAGGAGTTAGCTCAGTGACACTGCGCCTGCCTTGCAAGTGCAAAGTCCTGGTTCGATTGTTGGTATCAGAAGAAAAAAACATTTTTTTCTATGTAGAGTAAGCAAGATTTCCAGATCTGTCATCACTTTGAGTGGTGGCCAATATCAGTTGATAAAGGTGATTCAAAAAGTTAGTAAAAGTTTATTTCATTAATTTTTTTCTGCTATAGGATCCCAGGATTGCTGCTAAAAGATGTGGCATTACTTTTGCTCAAATTAAGACCTAAAAGTGTTTTTGTTTTGTTTTTTAAAAGATATTTAGGGGATGAACAATGGGGAATGAATAACATCCCAAAGATAAAAGGGTAAAACCTAATAATGGTTTGTACAGAAAGAAGTCAGTTTTTCAGGGAAAGCTGATTGTTCCTTCTGCCACAAGAGGGAAAAATCTGTTGTTTACTATATAGACATATTACTAACGTTGTAAATTGCCTTTAGAAATATGTTACTCTTTCACTGTCTCCACTCAGTGAGTGATACCAGTATGTGTCTCAGTGAGGGCTTCCTGTTGCTGATTCTTCATCAGACTGGAATTCCTGCTGGGAAGTCGGCTGAGACTCAGAAAATGCAGTTCACCCCTGAAACACACAAGAAATCAGAGTTTTTCAAAGCTGTAAGGTAAGCTATTAAGCAGCTGATTTAAGTATTTCTCTACCCTAAGAACCTACCAGTAGTCTCTATTAAAGAAAGAAAAAGTTGAACTGATACAAAGTTTTACCAGCTTTGAAAATTACTGATTTCTTGTGGTGAGATACTTTTATATGGTGAGCTGCATTTTCTAAGCCCTGGACCTACTAGTCATATTGTCAAGATAATGCACTCTGCATCTAGACTGCTTTGTTGATTACATTATGTACACGTAGGCTATATTTTTTAAAGAATATAGAATATAGAGAGTCGGGTGTGTTGGAGCACACCTAGGAGGTTGAGCAGGAGGATCACAAAGGCCTGTCTCAAAATAAAAATGTTTAAAGGGCTGGGATGTAGCTCAGTGTGTATGCCCTGAGTTCAACCCCCAGTACCACAAAATAATAAAAAGCAGGTAAATATACACACTTGCATGTTCATATGTGTATATGTATGGTACTGGGACAGGAGTGCTATCCCAATTTCACTGTCTTGGGTATAGGATTTCAGACATTAGGATAAGTGAGAAAACATAGAAGTAAATGAAGTCTTTTTTTGTGTGTGTGCGTGTGTTTTTTCGGTGCCAGGGGTCAAACTTGGGCCCTTGTTCTTGCAAGGCAGGCAGCAGAACCACTGAGCTAAATCCCTGGCCCAAAGTAAATGGAGTTTTAAAACAGAATATCAAGGCTGGGCATGGTGGCGCACGCCTGTGATCCCAGCACTACTTGGGAGGCTGAGGCAGGAGGATCACTGCGAGTTCGAGACCAGCCTGGGCTACATAGTGAGTTCCAGGTCAGTCTCAACTACATAGTGAGACCCTGTCTCAAAAAACAAAAAAAACAATATCAGTGTTTCAAACTTTAAAGAAGTAATCAAGTGTAATCAAGTGTACCATTAGGTATATGATTTTGCAGGAAAATTTTCCAAAATGGTCATTTGCCTTTCTCTATCTACAGATGGAAAATGTGGTAGTATCAAAATGATTGTGAGATAGAGAATGGAGAACATACATCTTAAGAAAAATTAAAAGGCCCATAATACATATCTTAAAAATTTTATACTGCTAAGTCATTTTGTTACTTTGTGGTATAAAATTAATTATTTCATCTATTACTTGGTTTACTTCAAAAGTAAAGGTTTTGCCAGGTGTGATGATGTACAACTATAATCCTAGCACTCAGGAGGTTGAGGCAGGAGGATCACCTCAGATTGGAAGCTAGCTTACGGTACATGGTGAGTTCAAGGCCAGCCTAGACTGTAAAGAGAGACCCTGTCTCAAAAAGCCAAAGGGGAAAAAAGAAGGTTTCATATTGACAATTATTTTCCAAATTCTTAATACTTTGGAAATTATCTCAATCCTTTTCCTAGTAATTATACAAATCCTACATATATTACAGAAAAAGTAAGCCAGGGATGGAGGTGCACACCTGTGTTCCCAATACTCAGGAAACTGAGTCAGCAGGATTGCTGTGAGTTTGAGACCAGCCTGGGCTACATAGAAAGGCTGTCTCAAAAAAAAAAAAAAAAAAAAAAGGCAGGGGATTTAGCTCAGTGGTTCTACCACCTACCTCACAGTGCATGGTACCCTGAGTTCAATCCCTGGTACCAAAGGAAAAAAAAAAAAAACCAAGGGCCAAGGATTTAGCTTAGTGACGCTATGCTGCTCACAAGCTCAAGGTCCTGAGTTCAATCCCTGGTACTGGAAAAAAGGGGGAAAAAATTTTTTTTTCCTCATTGAGTTTATTGGTACATTTTAGGTATACAGTACAGTTACATTCATTATTGGAATCTTGTACCTTTACATGACAGGTCTTGGTTTTTGTTTTTGTTTTTGTTTTTTTAGGAAAAAGAAAATATTAATAAGCATATTTTTTAAAAATTACTCAACTCCTCTCAGAAAAGCCAGTATTGAAATTTTAGTGTGTGTGTGTGTGTGTGTGTGTGTGTGTGTAGTCTATATCTTTATAGATTTATTTTTTGTATAGGAATATAAGGGAGTGTAAACATGGGTGTACACTCTATATAATGTTAAATCATTGAATGCTTGAATGTGAAATTATTGAGTCATCCCCTCTTGTGTAGGAGCTGTTTCCCCTGAACTTCTTCTTTTTTTTTTTTTTTCCAGCTCCCCTGAACTTCTTTAGCCATACCTTACCCTAGATTCCTGAAGCAAGAACAGTTTAGGAATCATCAACAAAATGGCGTGGCAGATAAAGGAATTCCATTCTAGCAGTGCTACTGCTTCTGTAGCTGGAACTCAAGCCACACCAGTTCCCCCAGATTCCCACAGTGATATTATTGTTTGGTTTTATTTTTGGTAACAGAGTCTCACTATTGTAATCCATCCTGGCCTTGGCATCCTCCTGCCTCAGCCTCTTAAGTGCTGGGATTACAGGTGTGCTCTACCACACCCAGCCCTTAGTGATTTTCAAAATTTGGCATTTCCTTGTAGAAATCAGTACCACAGACCATTTCTACTTTTTTTTTTTTTTTTTTTTTTTTTTTATTGAACTTGGGTCCTTGCACTTGCAAGGCAGGCCACCGAACCGCTGAGCTAAATCCCCAGCCCCTCATTTCTACTTTTTAGGACTATGCCATTTTGGTAGTACATAGAGTGATAGAAAATGTCAGTCACACTCCTTGATCATCACTCCTATTTGTCATCCATACCATCCCCAAAAAATGATGCCATGAGTGGCATTCTGAGATAGATATTATGAATTGTGATTCTCCTTTTTATAATATCTGTATATGAAGGAGACTTCTGAGGTCTCTAACATTGCCACAGAAATGTCATTATTAGAGCAGCAAGGCATTTAGCCCAGAGAAACATGGAAACTTTTTAGGGAATGAATGAGAAGAAACAGTGAGTTGTCTAATGAAGATCATTTCCAAAACACACACACACA